TTTAATTTCCCACTGAACAGTATGATACTGTTCTTTTAATCAGAACGAGTGGAGGGGGGAAATCGTATCGTTTTGTTACAAAAGTTCCGTGCCCTGATTATAACAGTCGCACGCTGCGTCGAATTGACTCTGATCAATGATCGGTTTAGTCTTGCGGCTCGCTGGATCAGTTCCGGACAACTTTAAAGGACCCAACGGTGGGTAACGGATGTCGATTGTTTGTAGACGGGCGCGTTAATTAGTTCCTCCACTTGTAATTGCCGCTCAGAATGGGACACATACAATAAGCCATTACCGGTTTGTGGCATTGCTCCTAAACCTACCCGTAATCATTTCTTCCCGTATCCTTTTCAAAATTATATCACTTAAAATTAATTTAATAACATTTTTGTATATACCTTGATTAATTTTTCTCTAATTTCCCAAGAGAATATCCCTGGTTGATCCTTTTTTAATTGCTCAATTCTCGCTTCAACTTCCGGCGTGGTTACCCTAGGTTTTGATCCACCGATCACCCCCGGCCTAATACTTCCGGTTTCTTGATACCTATTCAATATCTTGGAGACGCATCCATGCGATACTCTAAGTTGGCGCGAAATTACGCAAGGACGGATTCCGGCGGCTGCCATTTCGACGATTTTTAATCGGATGTGGTTCGGTAGTGGTCTTCCATTTATAAAAACGCCGCCTAATTGATTTACACGACCCTGACCTAAAACAAAACAATAACATATTTATTTTATTATATTTTATTAGCGATTTTCGATTTTGTGTTGAAATTAAAAATCAAGCCGATTCAAAAACAACAACGAAATTAATTTCTTGTGGTCTTCGTTGCTACACACGTTATTTTGTAGACTGCAAAGGTGCAATTTAATACCTAAATGTCAGTGCAACAGCAATTAAAATTTAATTAATAGAAAGCGTCGTCGAAGAGTATTATGTCTAGGGCACGGAACTTTTGTAACAAAACGATTTCTCCCCTCCACTCGTTCTGATTAAAAGAACAGTATCATACTGTTCAGTGGGAAATTAAAATTTCAAGTTAGAAAAAAATTGTTTTAACAAAAATTGTTCCTGAAACAATTCCAAACAAACTTTGTCAACAATTTTTTTTGATTTAATCAATAATTAAGGAGATAACCTCAAAATAATAATTTTTCCGTTTTTATACATAATTATACTTAGATGCTTAATTAATAGAGATGTAAAAATTTTTTATTAAGATAATTGATTCAAAATCGAAATTGAAACAAATTTTATTTAAAACATTTTTTGATAAAAACAATAATTATTGAGATAATTAATTTTGATAGCATACTATTCAGAGGGAAATTAAAATTTCAAGTTAGCAAAAAATTGTATTAACAAACACTGTTCCTGAAGTAATTCTAAACAAATTTTGTTAACAACATTTTTTGATTAAATCAACAATAAGGATATAACCTCAAAAATATTAATTTTTGTAGCATACTATTCAGTGGGAAATTAAAATTTCAAGTTAGAAAAAAATTGTGTTAACAAAAATTGTTCCTGAAACAATTCTAAACAAACTTTGTCAACAATTTTTTTTGATTTAATCAATAATTAAGGAGATAACCTCAAAATAATAATTTTTCCGTTTTTATACATAATTATACTTAGATGCTTAATTAATAGAGATGTAAAAATTTTTTATTAAGATAATTGATTCAAAATCGAAATTGAAACAAATTTTATTTAAAACATTTTTTGATAAAAACAATAATTATTGAGATAATTAATTTTGATAGCATACTATTCAGAGGGAAATTAAAATTTCAAGTTAGCAAAAAATTGTATTAACAAACACTGTTCCTGAAGTAATTCTAAACAAATTTTGTTAACAACATTTTTTGATTAAATCAACAATAAGGATATAACCTCAAAAATATTAATTTTTGTAGCATACTATTCAGTGGGAAATTAAAATTTCAAGTTAGAAAAAAATTGTGTTAACAAAAATTGTTCCTGAAACAATTCTAAACAAACTTTGTCAACAATTTTTTTTGATTTAATCAATAATTAAGGAGATAACCTCAAAATAATAATTTTTCCGTTTTTATACATAATTATACTTAGATGCTTAATTAATAGAGATGTAAAAATTTTTTATTAAGATAATTGATTCAAAATCGAAATTGAAACAAATTTTATTTAAAACATTTTTTGATAAAAACAATAATTATTGAGATAATTAATTTTGATAGCATACTATTCAGAGGGAAATTAAAATTTCAAGTTAGCAAAAAATTGTATTAACAAACACTGTTCCTGAAGTAATTCTAAACAAATTTTGTTAACAACATTTTTTGATTAAATCAACAATAAGGATATAACCTCAAAAATATTAATTTTTGTAGCATACTATTCAGTGGGAAATTAAAATTTCAAGTTAGAAAAAAATTGTGTTAACAAAAATTGTTCCTGAAACAATTCTAAACAAACTTTGTCAACAATTTTTTTTGATTTAATCAATAATTAAGGAGATAACCTCAAAATAATAATTTTTCCGTTTTTATACATAATTATACTTAGATGCTTAATTAATAGAGATGTAAAAATTTTTTATTAAGATAATTGATTCAAAATCGAAATTGAAACAAATTTTATTTAAAACATTTTTTGATAAAAACAATAATTATTGAGATAATTAATTTTGATAGCATACTATTCAGAGGGAAATTAAAATTTCAAGTTAGCAAAAAATTGTATTAACAAACACTGTTCCTGAAGTAATTCTAAACAAATTTTGTTAACAACATTTTTTGATTAAATCAACAATAAGGATATAACCTCAAAAATATTAATTTTTGTAGCATACTATTCAGTGGGAAATTAAAATTTCAAGTTAGAAAAAAATTGTGTTAACAAAAATTGTTCCTGAAACAATTCTAAACAAACTTTGTCAACAATTTTTTTTGATTTAATCAATAATTAAGGAGATAACCTCAAAATAATAATTTTTCCGTTTTTATACATAATTATACTTAGATGCTTAATTAATAGAGATGTAAAAATTTTTTATTAAGATAATTGATTCAAAATCGAAATTGAAACAAATTTTATTTAAAACATTTTTTGATAAAAACAATAATTATTGAGATAATTAATTTTGATAGCATACTATTCAGAGGGAAATTAAAATTTCAAGTTAGCAAAAAATTGTATTAACAAACACTGTTCCTGAAGTAATTCTAAACAAATTTTGTTAACAACATTTTTTGATTAAATCAACAATAAGGATATAACCTCAAAAATATTAATTTTTGTAGCATACTATTCAGTGGGAAATTAAAATTTCAAGTTAGAAAAAAATTGTGTTAACAAAAATTGTTCCTGAAACAATTCTAAACAAACTTTGTCAACAATTTTTTTTGATTTAATCAATAATTAAGGAGATAACCTCAAAATAATAATTTTTCCGTTTTTATACATAATTATACTTAGATGCTTAATTAATAGAGATGTAAAAATTTTTTATTAAGATAATTGATTCAAAATCGAAATTGAAACAAATTTTATTTAAAACATTTTTTGATAAAAACAATAATTATTGAGATAATTAATTTTGATAGCATACTATTCAGAGGGAAATTAAAATTTCAAGTTAGCAAAAAATTGTATTAACAAACACTGTTCCTGAAGTAATTCTAAACAAATTTTGTTAACAACATTTTTTGATTAAATCAACAATAAGGATATAACCTCAAAAATATTAATTTTTGTACCATACTGTTCAGTGGGAAATTAAAATTTCAAGTTAGCAAAAAATTTTATTAACAAACACTGTTCCTGAAGTAATTCTAAACAAATGTTGTTAATAAAAATTTTTGATTTGATCAATAATTAAGAACATAACATCAAAAAGAATTTTATATATATATTTTTATTGAAAAAATCGTTTTAGAATTTAATTTAGAACAACTTTTGTATGAAATTTTCTGCTGAGAACGAGTGGAGGGGGGAAATCGTGTCGTTTTGTTACAAAAGTTCCGTGCCCTAATTATGTCGAACTAATTGCAAGATCTATGGGATTGTATATCAAACATTTTTTTGGATTTATGGAAATTTATTTGTTTTCGAGAAACTACTTCAAAAAAGACTGAGGCTAATCACAAATTTAACAAAAGAGAAAGACTAAGGAAAAGAATAAAGAAAAGACAGGAATAAGGCAAGATAATAAAAAAATATTTTTTAAGTTCTGTGTAATTTGATCTGGATGTTGGGCGGATTGCGTAATGATCTTTAGACCGGCGCGAACAGGTTAACGACAATTTAATCACTAATGCAGGGGTGGGCCTCAGCGAGTAATCGAGTAGGCCGCGACGAATCGAAACTACTATAATTTCTGTTGTACGGATTTGTGTTTTGTTGCCTGAGGGCTTCACAACTCACGGTCTGAGTGATAGATCGACCCGTCCTCTTTTATAAATTATGTTATTTCACGAGTGTAACTCAAGACGTAATGGCTCATCATCTCATCTCGAATCATCTTTTTTAAACTGACACTTCAAGAACTTTTCTAAAATAAAAATTATGTAATTTTATAGTTTTGACAAAGAAAATATTAATTGATTGGTAAAAATGAAGTTATTTAAAACGACACGGAAAAATTTTAAAATAATTGAGGTTTTTGTTTAAAATCCAAGATGACCAAAAACAAATGATTTGTAAATATTCCGATAGAAAATCAAAAATCATGTAAAATGAGTCCAAACTCGATATATCTAGGTGTTATAGCACCAGAGATATCTATATTTTAATAAAATCAAGATGGCCGAAAACAAAACACTAATTAATCGTGCCATCTACCTTTAACAGTGACTTCTATAGTAAATATAGAGTGTGATACATCAAATTAGGTTAGAATTTTCCGATCTTTGCGAAAATCTTATTGTTTTCGGAGTTAATTCAAAAAGAAATTATATAACACTTTTTTTCTTGTTGTTTATTAAATGAAGAAATAATTTTCTTCTTTGAAATGTGTTTCTAGTAATTTTTCCCATCTCGAATCAATCCAGGAGTCGTCGGAACGTGCCAATTACGGCTACACCGGTATAAATAGCGCGGTCGTAAAAAGAATTAATCGAAACTCCGTTAGATTTCCGACACTAGAACGCCTTGGCGCTGTATTTTATTATTATAACGTGATATTTTTGTCGCGCAGCTTTCCGCAGCGTTGCGGGTTCCGCGGTCTCCATTAAATGAAAACAAATTTAATTTCCTCCGGAGCCGACAACCGACTCGAGAAAGAAGACTTCTTCTACTTCTCCGTCTTCCTTTTTTTCTATTTCTTCCGTTTCTTTTTCATCGACACAACAAGTCTCTTTCTATCATCGAATAACAACATTAAAATTTTTTTTTAATAAATTAACTAACCTTGAAAGGGATAACCGGCAAATAAAGGTCTCACATCCATTTTTTTTAAACTACAAAATCAAATCCACTTAATTTTTCTTTTCCACCAAATAAAAATCATCACACCACCACCACAATTTTCTTTTAGTACTCACTAACCAAATCCGAATCGTGTTCACGAAATTATAACAAAACGCGGGACACAATGAGTTTGTTTGAGCCGTTTCGGCGTCTGAAAAAAAATTGAACGTCCCACCGACAAAAGAAAACTATATTACCGTCCCTATTATAAAATTACGGCTCGCAATGATTGGTTCGCGATCCCCAATGTGTTGTTGCATGTTGGGTGCATTGTGTAAAAGCAAGGGGGAAAGAGGTTTTGAGCTACGACGCGATCGGCTCTTTTTGGTCCAGCCCATTTTGGTATTAAAACTAACTTGGCGAACCAACCGTCGGACGTGGTACAAGAATCGAAGTGGGGAAGGCGTGGCGACAATTTTTTTTTAACTTAAACACCAAGGCAACGAAGTTTGTTGTAAGTTAAATGGGTGGGGCTTAATTTAGGTTACGCCTACTTTACTCACGAGTTGTAAAATATGTCGATGTTAATAAATAAACATTTTTTTCAATTTCTTTTATCATAATCTAGATGGGAATAAAAATATAAATAAAAACCATTAATCATCGAATATCGTGATATTTCGTGAATTGTGCATCTCTTCTCTTAATGAACTATAGGTATCGTTAAACAGTTTTTCTCGTATCAATCTCTATCAATCATTATCGAGCCCATTGAGACTATCATAGCGGGGGAAGCTTCCTCGAAGAATACCAAAGACCTACCTCGAGGATTCCTTCTTCGATATGACACAGCAATATATCTGTGGATATATATATATGTGTCCACAAGATAAATTAATATTTTAATAAGTAATAACTAAATTAAATTCTAAAACGATTTTTTCAATAAAAATATATATATAAAATTTTTTTTGATGTTATGTTCTTAATTATTGATCAAATCAAAAATTTTTATTAACAACATTTGTTTAGAATTACTTCAGGAACAGTGTTTGTTAATAAAATTTTTTGCTAACTTGAAATTTTAATTTCCCACTGAACAGTATGGTACAAAAATTAATATTTTTGAGGTTATATCCTTATTATTGATCAAATCAAAAATTTTTATTAACAACATTTGTTTAGAATTACTTCAGGAACAGTGTTTGTTAATAAAATTTTTTGCTAACTTGAAATTTTAATTTCCCACTGAACAGTATGGTACAAAAATTAATATTTTTGAGGTTATATCCTTATTATTGATCAAATCAAAAATTTTTATTAACAACATTTGTTTAGAATTACTTCAGGAACAGTGTTTGTTAATAAAATTTTTTGCTAACTTGAAATTTTAATTTCCCACTGAACAGTATGGTACAAAAATTAATATTTTTGAGGTTATATCCTTATTATTGATCAAATCAAAAATTTTTATTAACAACATTTGTTTAGAATTACTTCAGGAACAGTGTTTGTTAATAAAATTTTTTGCTAACTTGAAATNTTTTTGTAATATGCTTCGATTCCCGAATGTTACCATTAGCTAATAGTAAAACAAGGAAATTTAGTAAATTTTCATATTTTCGTATTTTTCTCGATATTGACGCATCTGAGAGCAAAAATGCAAGAGAGCAATATTGTTAAGAATTAAATTTGCTACAACTTTTGCTTCAAAAGCTTTTTGTAATATGCTTCTATTCCCGAATGTTACCATTAGCTAATAGTAAAACAAGAAAATGTAGTAAATTTTCATATTTTCGTATTTTTCTCAATATTGACGCATCTGAGAGCAAAAATACAAGAGAGCAATATTGTTAAGAATTAAATTTGCTACAACTTTTGTTCTAAAAGTTTTTTTGTAGCATGCTTCGATTCCCGAATGTTACCATTAGCTAATAGTAACAAGGAAATTTAGTAAATTTTCATATTTTTGTATTTTTCTCGATATTGACGCATCTGAGAGCAAAAATGCAAGAGANATGTTTGTTAAAACAATTTTTTTCTAACTTGAAATTTTAATTTCCCACTGAACAGTATGATACTGTTCTTTTAATCAGAACGAGTGGAGGGGGGAAATCGTATCATTTTGTTACAAAAGTTCCGTGCCCTAGTAATGGTAGTCACTAGTGCTTGACACGTTAACGTCAGATTTTGGATTGTTGTTAGTAATTCGTCGTGTGGTGGTGTTTTTGAGGTGCGATGTTTTTGAACTTCATGATTTGAAATTCATTGATTCCCACACCTTGTCGGCAATGGAAAGAATGTCTACAACGTCCTCTTTGCCAGAAGCGAGGAGTGCAACCGAAGCAACATTATTATTTTTTTATTTTTATTTAATTTGAGATTTTTGAAAAAAATTTAAAAAATTTTTCGGAGTGGGCGTCGGTGGCACAACACAATAAATGACGCAATAAACAACATTATCTTGTTTGTAAGGCGACCGCGTTGTTGTTGAGTGTGTTGAGTCGCCGACTGAACGGTCAATATATCTTCGGTCAAAATGTAAACGAACCGCGCATTATGCCCATTGTCGGGAGCTGCTCCACAGCCGCAAAGTCCAACCTTCTCCTGAGTTATTTGATAACGAACGATTGCGAACAACCCAACAATAAGTTCAAAAGTTACCGCTCAAAAATAAAATCGTTGCATCCTCAACAATCGCGTTTTAACTGTTTTAAACTAAAATTGCAAAGTTATTTCGTTCCGTTTTGGAAGTCGAATGGTTCGGAACCAACTATGAGGACTGTAAAGGTGTCGTTTATAGCTTGAATGAATGTCGACGTAGACCGCACAAGTTGGTACTACTGGCTGGGTTCTTAATTGATATGAGATGTGACCCAACCGCACAACCGACGACCGACACACACAGATTTAAAATCACCTAATTATTTATTTTCAAATTATTTCATTTAAAAATTTATTTTCATTTTGACACCAAACACCCTACGTTTACCTTTCATATTTTTGTATTTTTCTCGATATTGACGCATCTGAGAGCAAAAATGCAAGAGAGCAATATTGTTAAGAATAAAATTTGCTACAACTTTTGCTCCAAAAGTTTTTTTGTAATATGCTTCGATTCCCGAATGTTACCATTAGCTAATAGTAAAACAAGGAAATTTAGTAAATTTTCATATTTTTGTATTTTTCTCGATATTGACGCATCTGAGAGCAAAAATGCAAGAGAGCAATATTGTTAAGAATAAAATTTGCAACAACTTTTGATCTAAAAGTTTTTTTGTAACATGCTTCGATTCCCGAATGTTACCATTAGCTAATAGTAAAACAAGGAAATTTAGTAAATTTTCATATTTTTGTATTTTTCTCGATATTGACGCATCTGAGAGCAAAAATGCAAGAGAGCAATATTGTTAAGAATAAAATTTGCAACAACGTTTGATGACCGGTCTCGCTGAGACACCTTGTATGATTTTTGATTACCTTGGTAACAACAAAACCGACAGAGTTGGATTTAAAAAATTATAACAACGAGGTTTATGGAATTGAAGTGATTATGCCAGAATGAATCTTGGTTGAATTTTCGTTAAAAGACCCCTTATTTCATCGGGATATCTCAATTCATCTTTGAGGTAGGTACAATCCTCTACATTTCCAATTTGCTAATAATCACTTTAGTCATAACAAAACGCACAGAGTTTGAATTTAAGTTGATTAAATAATGAGCTTTTTATTGTTTCTTCTTTTCCTATCAATGACATAAAAGAACGTCGAGTATGTTGAGATAAAAAAAAATTGTTGAAGGCGTAGTACTATGAAGTCGGTTCAAAGTCGAACGACTTCGGAGCAGATTCTTGTCTCGACCGCGGAACGAGCTAATGCTCGTGTGCTATTACCATCGCCTAAGGGCAAAGCGGTTCCTTTGCACACCGAACCAGGGAGAGAGAGTTCCGACCTCGGAACTAACTTACGAACAAAAGCTTCGCGTTCCTCTACGTTTCAATTTTGTGCCTCCAGCACACCACCACCGCACACCGTCACCTTCTTTTTCATTCTACGAAGAATCTCGCATCTTCATTTGCATCCGAAACAACCTCTCGAAGAAATTTTTTTGCCAGAACTCTGGATAAGTATAAGAATTAATTAGCTTTTTTAATTTTTAGTGTGTAACGATAGGAAAAGCGTGATGGAGGGAAGAAAAAGAAAATTGAATAGTGAAGCACAGAAGTAAGACGAATCTCGATTTTCGATCGGTTCTTTTTAAGGTAAACACGCGGCCCGGCTGCGCGCAGGTGGTCCGATTTTGGACGGAATTCCGCCCGGCAAAAAGAAATCCCGGCAGATGACTTGGATATTAAATTAGTTCTGCTCTACGTGTTACCTAAAACCACTGCCGGTTTTGTATATCTACCCTAAAGCCGCCGCTTTTAAAGCTTACTACTGGATAAAAACTTTTTCTCAACAAACCGAAAAGGAACCAAAAACTTAAACCGTATGAAAAATTGATAAAATAATTCAATTAGCATTTAATAATTCAATATAAATCTTTAAAACACCGAAATAAAAAAACTTCATGCAACGCTTAACAAAGGTATTTGAATTTATTTTTTTTCCTCCAAAGGGTTTTTTGTTGTTCTGTTCTGGTTGTTTCGCTTTTAATAAAATTGTTTCGGTTTTTTTCTTCATTATTGATGGGTACTGTTCCTATGACGATGCGACAATCTTACTTTTCAATTTTATCCTTTCTTCTGCTTGATTCTTTTTTGATCGAATACCCATTTTTATTAAAGATTGAAACGTCCAAAACCATTTCTATGAAACGAAATTGTCAAGGGAAGTCTGATTAAATTTCTCCTGACTAAATTTCCTTGTTTTACTATTAGCTAATGGTAACATTCGGGAATCGAAGCATATTACAATTAGCATTTAATAATTCAATTTAAATCTTTCTGCAACGCTTAACAAAGGTATTTGAATTTATTTTTTTCCTCCAAAGACTTTTTTTGTTGTTCTGTTCTGGTTGTTTCGCTTTTAATAAAATTGTTTCGGTTTTTTTCTTCATTATTGATGGGTACTGTTCCCATGACGA